CTTTTCAGACATTAGTGTGAATACCACAGTCCTCCTTTGCTGGGTCTTGCTTGCTTGGTTTGTGGCTTGATGAGGTATTATTGTGTTCCCTTTTCACAGATGTGTGACAGCTCAGAGGAGGGAGTTGATGGTGACAATGTGAATATGTCAGTGGTGCATCCAACCACCCCAGCACAATATTTCCATTTACTCCGAAGGCAGATGATTCGAAACTTCCGGAAACCGCTAATCATTGCCTCTCCCAAAATGCTCCTCAGGCTCCCGGTAAGGCAAACCTCTCTTCCATGGTTGCTCTTTCTTTTTCTCTCCAAGGTCTAATCAAAATGCCAAACTACATGGACTTAACTGAAGAGATGGTTTTGAACCAGTGAGGTTCTGTTGGTACAACTTTGTTCCTGGACACTCGGGGCATGTTGGTGCTATGTGAGACAGCGTGCATCTGAATCTGCTGACAGCTGAAAATATGCCAGATAGCCACCTCTTGGCCCCTGCCAGGGCATTCCCACTGCTGCTCTGTGGCTTTCAGGTTCATTTTTGCTCATGAGAATAGCAGTGGGTACAGCAAATACCTCTCTATAACAGCAACTTCATGACACTTTTCCAGAATTCAGCATGCACAGGGCAAGGAGTGTTTTCAGGGCAGTGTAGATTTGCCCTCTTAAATCAATTAAACCCTGGCTTGTATCTTGCACGGGTAAATTTTACCAGTCCAAGCCAAACCACTATAACACTTAAATTTCCCATGTACTTTTTTTAAAAAGGAGCTACAACAGTGTCTAATTTGACTGTGTCCTCTTAGTCCGACCTGTGTGAAATGCAAACAGCAGGCATTTAAAACTGCACTGCTCAGTTTTGCTTCCTGATCTTTTTGCATTAACACAACAACCTGCTGTGTTTGAGGATCACAAGACTGCCCCAGAGTACATCAGTCCTACTAGCTTTTGCCCTCTGTGGAGCGAGAGAATCCTGGAAACAAACCAACCAACCAAAAAACCCCTTCCTAGGTAATTTTTCACAGTGGTATACTTTTCTTCTTTAAATCTGGTAACTAAAATTAGCATGCCAGAATTGCTCTAATGATGATCAGTATCAGCTGTTCATTGGTTTTATTGTAGCCACTGCTAACAACGTTCATTGTTAACAAAGAAAGTCACTTGCTATGGGTAGCTGATAACTTTTTGATTTATACCCAGTAGCATATGACTCTTTGTGGATATTTCTCAGGCTGATATTTCACTTCCTGCTTACTTAACTGTCATTTGCTTTTTACACCTTTTAGATTTGTAAACCACAAGTTAAATATCCTGTTTTTTCCCTGGCCTTAGGCTGCTGTGTCAGGTCTTCAGGAATTGGCTCCAGGGACAACGTTCCGGCCAGTCATTGGCGATTCATCGATTGACCCAAAAAGGTAATTTCATTCTTGTTTCTAATATTAACATTCCAAAAACTTATCTGCATAATTGTCACTAAAGCAAGTCTTATACTTGGAAATTTTATGTCTGATAATTTCCTGAGGAGAGAGAATGAAGAAGCAGAATGAGCACCCCTGTAAATAAGAGAAGGATGTGAAGGAGATTTCCATAAATGCAAACTTAGTGTGATTTATTGTGCAGTCCTTGGGGAATTGCACACTCAAAACAAGCACGCAATTTAGCACAGCTGGCAGCTCGTAGAGAAGGCTCGGGAATAAAACGCTAGAAAGGTTTTGGGTATAGCAGTTTAGGTCTGAGGTTTAATAGAGCTGAGTTTGGGAATGGCTTATCTTGCTTTTCTCGGTAATACGCTGGACACTGATCAGTTCTGCAGATCCAGGGTTTCTAAAGGGGGTACATCGGGACTGCTGTACCACTTCCACCCCCCCCATCAGTCTCTGGTTCTGCTCATTTATAAAATGCAAGTGCTCTCTCCTTTTCCCTTGACTTTTTATGAGGAAGCACAATTATTTTTGTAGCCTTTGTTTTTGGATGTTTGAGATGCTGAAGTAGAGAGTGTAGGGATGAGGACCATGGCTGAAGCAGCAGTTTGTATTTTAATAGTGTGTTGTGCACGTGTCTCTCCCCTGCCCTGCTTCAGCAATAGCAAAATTGCCCACTAACTTCTGTCTGAGGTATTTGTCACCCCCATCAGCGTGGTATCCTGTTGCCTCAATATCTTTCACAACACTTGTGTAGCAGAAGAATGCTGTTCTCCCCATGTTACAGATGGGGAATTGGGGCATAGGTTAAGTGATTTATCAAGGATCACATAGGCAACCTTCTCCCTTTCTGCCCTCCCCCAAAACTGAGTATCTGAACACAAAACTTTCTTTTGTGTTCAGATATTCAGCACTTTGGCCTGAAACGATTCTTAAGAAGAGAAAAAGCATTTCGGGTTTAGCGTATAGTGGCTGCACAGTGCCTCTTTAAGAGGTTGTACCTCAGCTATTTGCATTTTTCTGTCCCTTAGCGTCACCCGGGTGGTGCTGTGTTCGGGCAAACATTATTATGCCTTGGTGAAACAGAGGGAAGCCCTTGGAGAACAGCAGCGCAGCACTGCCATCATCAGACTTGAAGAGCTGTGCCCTTTCCCTCTGGAAGCTCTTCAGCAAGAAATGAACAAATACAAGAATGCCAAAGGTCAGACAGGTCTTTGCACTTCACTTGTAGGTTTTCTTAAAGGAGGTGAAATAAACCCACAGCTATCTAGGAGCTCCTGCTTGTTACTCTTGCCTTTTAGTACTAAAATCCTAGAGTGTTTTTTCCTCTCTATGAATAGTTTGAATCTGACTGCTTTTCAGACACACAAGCCTTTATTACATGAGCTAAGCATAACATTTTAGGGTCTACAAGATGGACGCGCAATTTTGAATCAACTTTTCTACACCTCCAACTATATGCTACCAGTTTCTACTCAGTTTATCGAGTTTGACATTATTTGTCTGACGATGTTACCTACAAGCCCCAGCTGAAATTGGAACCCCACTTGGTTAGGTATTGTACAGGCATAGTGTTGGAGACGGTCCTTGTCCTGGCTGCCTTTCTGATATTGGGGTTTAATTTCATACGTGCATTTAAATAAAGATTGAAGATCTGATTTAACTCAGTGGCAGACTCTCTGCTGTTTGATACCTTGACAGAGGAAGAAAGTCAAGTGAATGTTTTCTGTAATACAAGGAGCTGAAGGTAGAGGAATAAAAAGGGGAGAGAGGGATGGTTTGTTTTTAAATCATACACTTTTACACCTGCCCATGTGTGTTTTCACACCTTGCGGTTTTGTTTTTGTTTTTTGGGGGGTATTCATTAAAAAATATAGCCCTCTGGCTCTAGCGGTCTGTGACCTGAAGGTGAATCCAGTCTGGTGAACATAAGCATGGAAGGCAGTGCCCTGGTTAGGGTTGGTAAGACCGCTGTAGAAACAATGGGAATATGCAACAAAGAGGATTAGCCGAGGAGATACGTCATTACCTGGTTTTGGATTCAGTGAGAGAATGTGCAGTGTAGATATACACAGAAAGTTTCTTCTTTTTTACACACCCCATAGTTAGCTTGTGGAATTCATTTCCACAGGATGTGGTGGAGGCAGATAGCACAGCCAGGTTCAAAAAGGGACTAGATAAATTCATGGATGATAGATCTATTAATGGCTATTGAATAGAATGGTTGGATAAGTTTCTTCTGGCATCTGTAACCAATAACGGTGGATGTCAGAGAGGGTATTGAACAAGGAAGAGATCACTAGAGATATCTGGGTCAATGTTGTCCCTCTATAGCATGCCACTGTCAGAGACGGGATACTAGGCTAGAGGGACCACTGGTCTGACCCAGTATGGCTCTGATTCTTACGTTCTCTTACAGATTTTATTTGGAGTCAGGAGGAACCACAGAACATGGGTCCCTGGACCTTTGTGTCACCAAGGTTTGAGAAGCAGTTAGCATGTAAGGTAAGGTCATCTTATTGTGCTGTATTCTTTTAAACTGAAGTTTGAACTTTGAGACGAGACAGCTCCCTGTCACAAAAGCCGTCCAATCATCGGCCTGCCCACCTGTCTAAGGCAGTCCATCCACCTGCCTCACCTTTGATGCAACTGAAGAGGTGTTTATAGGCGGGAGGCTGCCCATTTAATGCCTGATGCCAAGGGTGTAATACATGGCTCCATACCATCCCTACACTATGTCCCATGCCTTGCAGATGGCATCACTCTGGCCCCACTATATTCTAGTCTGACCATTCAGACCCTGACCTGGATCCCTTCTACTCAGGCAGCCTAACCTCCACCCTCATACTGGGCTGCAAATCCCCCTAGACCCCTTTTCCTCTTGGCAGTGACCCCCTCTTGGACTTTTGGCCTTGCAGGCCCTAGCCTCATCCTTAGGCTAGTTGGGACTCCAAGCCTCCTAGCTTTGGCTGTCCTTTGCAGTGGGTGCTCAGGCCCTTTGACTTTCCTGGTCCTGGCCCCACCGTTGACCAGTCAAGGTTTTATTGGTAGGTTCTTGGCAGCTAGCCCTCTCCCATACAGCTCCTCCTTCTGAGCTCATGGACCACATAATTACACTGAACCCCTCCTAGGCCTGCTGTTGTGCCCTCACTGGGCTCACTCTCTCTCTGCCCTATGGGTCAGCCTATGTGCAGTCCTCCAGGCCCCTCTCACGGACCATAGTCTACGCAGCCTCTGGATCTCGCTGCACCCCCTCACTGGTGCTAATACTCTGTCCCCTTACTGGAGCTTCTGGGCCTTATGCCCCATGGGCCTCAAGCCCCACTCTGTGGGCCTTGGCCTTGTGCTTTTCTGTTAGGGTGTGCTCCACTAGCCTTTCCCTCCCACGGGGTCACTCATAAGGCAGTGGGAGCTGAGGCTTTCCGGTGCCCCATACTCACCTTTTACTAGGAAGGCACTGGTGTGGCATTTCCTGGAGACTGCCCTGCCACAGATAACCCCACCACACCATCCAGCCCCAGCAGGGTGTAGTTTTAGGGCAGGCCCCAGGACCAGAAACCTCCTCCATCCCCACGTTCCTACCCTGACCTCCAGGTGTTCTGGAGCTGCAGTACTCTGCCTGGGAGATGTTCACTCTTCACCTCTCCAACTGCAACTGCTCAGTTGTGCTCCCAAGGCCTGTCTTATACCCTGTCTGCCTAGCCTTACACCAATCGGATGGTTTCCCAGGTGCCATGTGACCCTCCTGATTGGGTCTGCTCCCACCTGTAGGCTGATCTGCAGCCTACTCAAGCCCTTCAAGTGGCAGGCACAACCTGTGCTCTGCCACAGAGATGTATAATATATCTCAAAGCTCAAACCCTCCAATATATATATTGGCCATGATCACTAGCTGCTACTATAGTATTAAATCAGCAGTACCCTAGGCTGAATATAACATTACCTTGAGAGGTGGTGGAATTTCCATCCTCAAAGGTGTATTTTTTTTTTTTAAGGCCCAGCTCGACAAAGCCCTGGCTGGGATGATCTAGTTGGGGATGGTCCTGCTTTGAGCAGGGGGTTGGACTAGATGTGACCTTCTGAGGTCCCTTCCAACCCTCATTTTCTATGATTCTGTACCATATATCTCAAAGCTCAACCTCCAGTTTCATTTTT